ATCCTGAGCCCTACATCCTCAACTACCAGAAACAGTTGAAAACCCTGAACCGAAGAGGAACCCCAAACCCTAAGCCCCAAACCCTAAACCCCAAACCCTAAACCCTAAACCCTAAGCCCCAAGCCCCTAAACCCTAAACCCTAAACCCTAAGCCCCAAGCCCCTAAACCCCCAAACCCTAAACCCTAAACCCAAACCCTAAACCCTAATCAAACCCTAAGCCCCTAGACCCTAAACCCTAAACCCTAAGCCCCAAACCCTAAACCCCTAAACCCTAAACCCTAAGCCCCAAGCCCCTAAACCCCCAAACCCTAAACCCAAACCCTAAACCCTAATCAAACCCTAAGCCCCTGGACCCTAAACCCTAAGCCCCTAAGCCCTAAGCCCCTAGACCCTAAACCCCTAAGCCCCAGACCCTGAACCCGAGGCTTTCGTCCGAGGCCGCCTCCGGGATCCGGGCAGCTTTGGCCCCTTTTGCCCCTCCTTGGCTTCGGGTTTTTCCGGGGTGGGGTCTAGGGTTTGGGGCTTAGGGTTTAGGGTTTAGGGTTTAGGGGTTTAGGGTTTTGGGGTTTAGGGTTTTGTTCTTGGGAGCCTATTTTTGAGGGTGTAGGGTTTAGGGATATCATGTCAGTACTATAGGGGCCTTAACAGTCAGAGCAGGGTTTGGGGGCCCATTCTGCAATAATCGTAATACGGAACCCCCCCAAAAATAGTATAGGTAGTTATTCAGGCCCCTATATAACTCCCTAAACCCCAAGCCGTGTTAACAATTAACAGAGTGTTGTCACTATTCTTAGTATGGGAGTTCTTTGCCGGTGCTTGGCACTTTGGGCTACTCCTTGCCGAACCGAAGATGAACACCTGAACACATCAGTTACGAAGGAGGCGCGATACAGGGGCCTTAGTAACCACATTATGTGTTTGGGGTCGTAGGGTGTACCATAACTGTCGCGAGGAGCCCTACGGCACATGTTTGGCAGAACATGTTTGGCAATTCTTCAGGCTTCTGTCGTGTGCTTGCAGGGCCCTGTAAAAGAAACGACGCATGCCACTCAATAACAGAACCTAAGCTTCCGCGGCTCGAAGGGTACCACACAGAACCTTATACCCTACAATGAAGCATGCCAAGAGAACTGGAAACGACAGCTAAGAAGTCCTGAGTCTGAGGATTCCACAGTACCGAAAGTCAAGTCGAGTGGTGATGCTGTGTGCTTTTGTGCGACTAGATGTCCATGGTCCATGCCTGAACTTGTTGCAGCTGACAAAGGCTGACCAGCTAGAGGAAAAGTCACTCTGCGTGGTGCAATACAGCTTTGGGTTACCCCGCTATTTTGCCCAGCATCCGTGCAGCCGACTCCGCTGCTACCTGGGAAATCATTGATGGTTTCGGGCACCTAAGGGATCCAACACGTCGCGAGATGCTGCAACTACAACTACAAGGTTGCGCTGCAGAGCCGTAATTATTGTTGTGTTCGTCGTTAGTATATTCTGAAGTTGAATACGACCATCATTGATCTGGTAATATTGCAAGTATTGGCATTGTCAGTACTGTTCTGGTTCTTATTCGTAATTACTATCATCATAAGTCCTCTTCTCCTCCCGCTCCTCCGGCTTCTGCAGTTGCTACTATTGCAACTATGATGTTCATGATTTCCACTTTTGGTTACTGCTGGTATTCTTTAGAAGGGGCCCCCACCCTGTAATCGTCGTATACTAGGAATATAATAGGGCCCTAATATTATCCTTATAGTCACTATTACAGGGTGGGGGCAGCTTCTAAGGTAGTCTTCTTGTCTCGTGCCCTTTGAAGCCTCCCCAGATGCGCAGAGCCTCAAGCAGGATGCTTCTTTTAAGGGATCTATAAGGGTACTATAAGGCTTCCTTTAAGGGATCTATAAGGGTACTATAAGGCTTCCTTTAAGGGATCTATAAGGGTACTATAAGGCTTCCTTTAAGGGATCTATAAGGGTACTATAAGGCTTCCTTTAAGGGATCTATAAGGGTAATATAAGGCTTCCTTTAAGGGAAGGCCAAAGCCTTGCAGCAAGGAGCACGCTTTTTCGGTTCAGGGTTGGGGTTTAGGCTGCTACCCTAAGGCCCCATAATAGTTCCTTTTGGGGGTTCATATGTAGAATCTTAGGAGGTAATCCCAAAAAGGAACTACTATGGGGCCTCTGGGTAGGTTTTAGGGCGTAGAGTCAAGGTTTTGCTTTTTCTAGGGTTTAGGGTTACAGTAGTAGGGTTTAGTTAAGGCTAGAGTTAGGGTTTCAGAACATACGTAAGGAACCCCAATCCACACATTCAATGTTGTAGGATTCTTTAGGCAAGTACTCGCAATCAAGGCTCCCAGAATTTTCCGAATCCCCGATTCTCCTATCACTTTGGATCCTTCATACCAGTACTCCCGATTAAGGGACCCCCATTTTCAGAATCCCACATATAGAACCAGTCAGCCTGTAGGAAGGCGACGCCGCCCTCGGAGTTGCCGCACTCCTCCGTCGAGGCAATCTCTCTAGTGGTTTGAGGATTTATGGGACTTTGCCTGAACACTCAACACAAGCCTTGCCAGCTTCTTTGGGGGTACAGAGGTCTCGGGCTTAGGCGTTAGGCAGCATATGTCAAGCGCATGGTGCAGTCTTGCCAGTACGACTGCTGCATGTGCTATTGCTGCTTCTGGTGTCCTTCTGGCTGCTTGCAAGCGAACAGACAGCGCAGAACAGACCCAGTCCTACGAACAATTATACCTTCTACACCTTCAACCATATACTTCCTACCCGTAACCCTCAAGTTCACACACTCCTTACACTAAAGACTACCCCGAAAGCCTTTTTCGAGCATCTTAGCCCTACCTATCGGCCGATGGTAGCACTCTAGCGGTGCTACTGCTACTGAACTCGTGAGCTCTCTCTCAACACCCAAAGACCCAAAACGGTGCATACAAAACCCAAAGCAAAATCCCTAAAGCTCAAGCCCCCCAAGCCCGCAAAGCCCCTAAGACCCCAAGCCCTTGCTACTTGGAAGGGCAGGGGACTTAGTAAGTAGGTTATAAGTAGGGTTATAATTGGGGTAACTCCATTTAGGGTACTTCTATAACTCTACTTATAACCTACTTACTAAGTCCCCTGCCCCTCCAAGTAGACCCTATAAACCCTAAAACCCCACATATCTCCATAAGGAACCCTATAGATCCCTTCATGGAGCCCTTTAAGAACCTTTACTAAGTCCCCTGCCCTTCCAAGTAAGCCTTCCCAAGCCCAACACTCCAAAGCTCCGTCCTCCTGAATTGCCGCCGGCTCTAGCGCTGTGGAAAAGATGATCCTCAGGCTCTCAGGGTAAGTTAGGGTTTAGGGTTTAGGGTTTAGGGATTCAGAAATGTTTAGGGTTTAAAGTTTATAAGGGTTTAGGGTTAATGTAGGGTGTCCTGGGTCCTGAGACACTTCGGCATTTCGGAATCGTTCTCAACTCGCTTTCTGTTCCAACAGCCTTCAGGGCTGGATAATGTCTCCGGCTCGGAGCTCAGGATAAGTCCAGTGCGTATACACTAAAGGGTTTACAAGGTCTAGGGATGGCTAGGGTTAGTATTAGTACAAGGTAAAAGCCAGAAAGTTGGAATATGATGATCCTAAACCCTTTATGGTAAATTATAAGGTATGCTACCATGAAACCATATTCCAATTTTCTGGAGTTCCCTCTAGGGGCCTTCATAATCTAAAAAGGGTGTTGGAGCCCAGTATACTATATGCAATTACAATAAGCAACCTCAACGTAGTATAGGTAATTATTAAGGCCCCTATAATATAGGAACCTGGTCCAGGAACCCTACTTGGGGTCTTTTTATGCGGATCCTAATACTTTGGGGTTTAAACACCAGGGTTTCGTAGTCAGGTTCCTACATTAGGGTCGGTGCAATACACTTGCTGACTGCTGACTTGCATTCCATCAACAAGACAGACACATATATGATAACTTCAGGAATAACGAGCCCCCAACAAATCATTATCAGTATGCGGGGGGGGGCGCTCAAAAAGACCCAAATCTAGCGGGATTGAAACATGGCGGTATTAGATGCTGAAGTCTAACTTCTAAGATTTCTAGTACTTCTCGGGACAACCAATTTCTTTTATTCAGGTCACGCGGGTGACCAGACAGGGTTCCATATTCCAGGGTCTGAGTATGCAGCATGGATTGACTAATTTACACGTCACGCTCCTGAGTACTACACTAGGGACTTCGATCTCCGAGAGAGTGTATGCAGGGTTAGTAAGGGTAGAAAAGTTAGGGTTGAGGGCTTAGGGGTTCAGGGTTTAGGAGTTTAGGGATAAGGTTCATAAGGTCTTAGGGCTAGGGGCCCACTGACTCTGCCCCTGAGCCTGCGCTGGGCCAAGGGGCTCCTACGATTAAAGTGCATCCAAGATGCCATGAAAGAAGCACCGCAAAAAGGGGTTTCATTGCGGATGCTTATGGCCCTGCTATGGGCCTGTGGTGGTGCTGTCAGCACCACCACATGTCTCGAGCAAGAACAGCGGCAAACACCCTACCTGAGCGGTTCGTCCTATTGAACTGCAGCTCTTGTTGGTTGAAAGCAGGCTGGAAAAGGAGACAGGTTCGGTGCCTACATTTGCAGTCCAAGTATATGTTGAGGGTTCTCTCTATATCTCGTGCAGCACTTCTTCACGGAACTCATCACGCCTCTGCGAACAGGAGCTGAAACATTCAGAACCATACCGAGTACTTGGAAGGGCAGGGGACTTAGTAAGTAGGTCATAAGTAGAGTTATAAGTGCCCCAAAATGGAGTTCCCCCAATTATAACCCTACTTATAACCTACTTGCTAAGTCCCCTGCCCTTCCAAGTACCCATACCCAAAGGGTCCAAGTATCATTATGGTATATACTTAGACCCCCAAAATACCCTATAAGTATATACCATACTGATACTTGGACCCTTTGGGATACCGACTAAGAAGCTTGAGGCCCCTGACAAGAAGTACCGAGGATCGGACGACAGCGCCACCTGGCGGGGGAGCTCCTTCCTTTAATCCCGAAAGCCTTGTAAACCCCGAACCCTAAACTCGTGGGTCTCGGCCTTTACGGCTTCCCGATGTTATCGATATACGGACGGCCGCAGATCAGTAGCTCTGCTTACCTCTCGGATAGCCTGACCACCACACGACTCTAAGGAATCGGTTCATGCTCTAGGAGCAATAATATAGGGGAGCTGATTTAGGGCTTTAGGGCTTAGGGGTGTAGTGATATCCCCTAAACCCTAAACCCTGTATTCGCTTAGCAAATGGCCTTGCAAATGGACAAGGTTGGCGGAGCACGTTGCTCTCTTACTTCTCGCTCGAGGGGTCCATAAAGAATCTGGGGATCCATTGTAAGAAGCAGCACAGTTGGAGATAGGTTCTCCGGTTGAAAGGAGGGTCAACCCCAAAACCTTCAACAGATGCAACCACATGGCTCAGAATTCTGAAGCCCTGTATGCCCAAACCCTGCAAAATAGTAGGTTGTGACATTATGACCTCTTCATTCTTGGGTATCGTCCGTAAAAATGGCAGGTGGTTCTATCCGCAAGAAGCCCCTGAAGCCCTAAACCCCTATATACAAACCCTGCACCCCCAAACCCCAAACCGTAAAACTCTATTACATCAACCCTACACCATTAAGCCCGAAACCCCTCAAAACCCAAAAGCACCATAAACTAAACCATTACAAAACCCTACACCTCAACCCTTAAACCCTAAACCCTCCTAACGAAACCCTTCAAAACCCGAAAGCACCATAAACTAAACCATTACAAAACCCTCCTAAACCCAAAAGCCCAACAAGCTGGCCTCGTTGGGCTTCCAGCTCCTGATTCAGTTTAGATTCAGCAGAGCCACGGTTTAGGGTTTAGGGTTTAGGGTAGACAACGTCCGAGCTTCTCCGGGGGAGCGGTTGAGGCGGGTTTAGGATTTGGGGTTTAAGGGTTTTCGGATTTTTAGGGTGTAGGGTTTTAGGATGCTTACCTTAAAGACAGCTAGACAGCTGCCTTAAGAGTTTGTTGGAGTTCTTCGTTTGTTGTAGAATTCTTTTTGGAGGAGACGGAGTTTAAGGTTTCTCCAGAGTTTTTGGGGTGCGTGGGTGGGTCGGAGGTGAGGTGGAAGGGGTTTGGGGGCTTAAGTGCTTGAAGTGGGGGGGTCAGGGTTTAAAGTTTGAGGGTTTACAGATTTGAGGGCTGCAGGGTTTAAAGGCCGGTTTTGAGTTGGAGGGTTTAAGGGTTTTGGGATTTCGGTTTAAGGGTCAGAGTCACTGCCGGTAATGGCATAGCTATGACGCCTGCAAGTATCAACCCAATTTGCTGGCAATAGGGAGTTTGGACTTGCTTAGTGTCCAAGAGTTTCCCGCACGGGGTTCATGCTCCTATCATTTGGGCTTTGGGGGTGGTCGTGATCAGAAAACTATCCGACGGTTGACTAAAACCTAAACTTCGGCATTCTCCACCGCTTCCAGGCCCTGAAAATCGAATCCCCAGGAATACAGCAGAAGCCAAAAAGTTGGAAACCCAATAGCCTCATTCCTTAAGAGTAACGTATAGGGAATCCCAGCACTATTTGGCCTTAATCCGGTTTCCAATTTTTGGGGGTTCACTGTACGTGGAATGCCCGAAACCCTCCACAATACACCCAAGATCGCTTCGGAAGGCCTGCAGGGCCCTCTCGCCGTCGTCGCGTGAGAGCGGTACCGGCGGTGCCTGCATGACCCAACGGGTCCTAAGTACCTATATCTGTAGGGCTTCTTTATTATATAGGAAACAATATTCTGGTTTAGGCAAGTATTCCCCATATAGGTACTTTGGACTCTTTGGGTGCATAGTTTAGGCGAGCGGTTGCAAATGTGCCCGACACAAATACCTGCAAGCAGCTACCGCGCTGATTGAGTATTGATCGTTGACACAGATCTAGCGTATTTGTCTATGTAGTGCACAACATACGTAGGCATAAAAACATGCTTGCACCTCTATGTATGCATACATGCGTACATACAGACAGACAGACAGACAGACAGACGGACGGACAGACAGACAGACAGACAGACACACATGTACACATATATCATATATGTACATATGTATAAGAATATATGTATACAGAGACAAATGAATAAATGCCCACACACATGCAACTATATGTGTGTGTGTGTGTGTGCATATACATATATATATATATATATATATATATGTATTACATGTAGGCCTGACAGTTCTGACATGCTCCAGGAGCGCTGGGGTGCTAGTGGCAATGCATGCACGTCTGCAAGTGGTATTCTACCCTCTGTGAACCTGTGAGGGTGTATGCATGCATAGATGCATGCATGGACGGATGCAAGTATGTATAAGTGGCTGTATGTGTGCGCACAAATTTGAGTCTCTCTGTCTGCCCGTCTGTCCGTCTATCCGTCTGTCTGCGCGTCTGCCTGCCGTGCACATGCACACGCAAACACATTCAACATCTATATCCGAGACACTGCATCCCCGCCCCCTCCGTCCGAACCTGCTTTTCTCGGAGGAGGCTGCGGACCATTCCCTCCCTGTCCAGCTTGAGGTTTTAGGATTGTTGCGGAAGAAACGGTTGAGGTGCTTTAGAGCACTAACATGGAGCCTAATTATGTTTGAAGACCAAATGCGGAGGTTCGCATTTTCGGCTTGCTGCATGTTCCACGATGACTGTGGTAGGTGCTGCGTTGGAAGATATAATAACAGGATTTATGTGTCCGCATCACGGCCACGGCCCATTTAATGTGGCAAACAGGAGCGATGACTGAGCGCTGGCAATGGAATCAACACACAACTGCGAGTTGTCATGGGCACCGGGGTAGGTAGCTCATAGAAGCCGTAAATCCTAAACTTTAAACCCTAAACCCAAACCCCGAGACTCTACAGCCCTAAACCCTTACCTCCAGAGGCCGAAGGCATCAACACCCAACAACTTCGACCTTCGAACTTCACAGCTCAAGGCTCATTTTGGCGGTTTAAGGTGTAGGGCTTCAGGATTTAGGCTTGCGGAGCTTAGCGGGTTAAGATTTGGGTCTTGACACCTCGCTACTTCTCGATGTTGCAACCTTGAAGCCCTCAAAGAATAATACTATCAGTTTGCCCAAGTCTTTTCTTGTGGATCTTCAGGGTTCAAGACCCTCGAGACCCTCAGCCGCCCCTGCCTGCACCTTGCTACTCCACATGATTTAGATTTTGAGTTGCAATATTAGCCATATTTTGGGATCCTTATGACTTGCATGTGTACCAGCTACCTTAATAAAATGGAATCTTGCTACGATATGTCCCAAAGCCCGGTCTCTTCGTCAAAGCCATCCGGAGCCCCTGAACCCGAATCCGGAACCCCATTCTTTTCTTGAGACCCATATATTAAGCGCCTGAGCCCTAATCCGAAACCCCATGCTTTTCTTGAGGCCCTTGTATTGAGTGGCTCCTCTGTGCAGGCCGCATCGGCAGACTCTTCTCTCGGGGCCCTCTGGCACTGCGGATGATGGCGGACAAGCCTCACACAGCCGGGAGGGTTACAGCTCCCTAAACCCGACCTGAACCCTAAATAACCTAACACTCTGGGCTCCTAACTATGAGTTCCTGATGCGCATCCCAATAAATAAAGGGTAGGTCTTTTAGGACTCAGAGACTTTTCTCCAGCTGAAATGCGATGCATCTCACAGTACTCGTCCTAGCCCCCTTAGGTTTCATGAGCTTGCCCCCAAATATGAAGTGCAAAGAGGGTACTGCCGGGGTATCTGAAACCTGAATAATCTATGAACCCTCAACCTGAAAGTCTACACCCCAAACCCTGAATCCTAAGTCCTAAACCCTTGAAGGAGGTTGGCAATTGTACAAGATCCTGCTTGACTCAGATATATAATACTAAATTATATAGTGTAGATTGAGGCCTTGACTTGGTTCCTGTAGTTGGAGGATCATGGGACTTAGTTACTAGACTTATAAAGACGACAACTGTGTTTATAATGACAAATAACTCCAGTTATAATACAACCCTACTTACTACGAAGTCACATGATTCCCATGATCGTCAAAGTAAAGGTACTTGAGGACCATGGTCTACTCTTTTTGGATACATGGACAACGCAACGTTGAAACTGCAGAATGTTCTATTCGTTGTTTTCCGAAGAAACCACAATAAACCCTAAACTCTAAGATCCTTGTAATGTAAAAGCCAGGAAGTTGGAATATCATTATCGTAACCCCTTTAAGGTAAATTATAGGGGATCCTACCATTAATCCATATTCCAACTCTACTTATAACCTACTTACTAAGTCCCCTGCCCTTCCAAGTAAGCCCCAAGAACTGACGGTTTTACCCACCACCAGAAGAAACTTGCCGTGGCCGCCTGCTGTGTCGGCGCCACGTCTCGGGGCGAGAACGGGCCTCGGAAGATTCTGAGAAGCCCTACTTGGAGGATGGCACCAAAACTCTATTCTAATTATAGTGAGGTCCTATGGAAACCGGTTTAACAGCTTTGGCCTATACTTTGCGGAGAAAGACACCTGGAGCCCAACGGCTCGAGAGCACTTTTGATGACATACGCTTACCTCCCAAAAACCTCAGGGCTTAAAACTTCAAGCTGTCAGAATTAGACTACCTCATAAGAGCCAAAAAGTTGAAACGTACGGGTTGCAGGGTTCAGGAGACGTTCGGCCCCGAAGCAGGGTATCATTTGCACATTTGGGGCCTTCGGGCGTGAAACTCCTCTACCTTAGCTTACAAACGCGGAATCAAGCACATCCAACAAAAGGTTTTCTGAGCTTCGAGGTTTCAGATTTGAACAAATTCCTGTATGCTGCCAACATCATGTTGACATCTTGAGCCTCGTCCGTAAGGGGATTTGCATCGGGAACATGAACCGCCAGTCGCCATTGCAGGGCTTTATCCGCACAGCCATAAACAAGAACCCTAAATCCAATACCCACAATCAGAACGCTGCAGAATGAACTCCAAGCCACAACAGATGAGAACAACTCTCGGGCTGTCGGCTTTCAGGATTTCAATGCTGCGATTCATGGCGTACGTTTCACCACAGACTTCGCCACAGGCATACATACAAGCACAAGACATGATCACCTCCCTGTTTCTGAGTGTTTTACGTGCTCAGGAGATCAAGGTTCGCCCTGTTCCTATACTTTCATACGCGCAACAAACCCGTAGCCTCTACGACGACTCCAACGCTGAGATTGTTAGTCACATAAAACACTGCCAGCCCACGCTGATGGCTTGTTCAACTGGATGGTCAATGCAAGCTGCAAACGGCCAAGTCTGTGCAGACCCCTTCGGCTTAAAGCCCAAATCAAGGAAGCCTTCTCGGAAAAGAACAAACCGTAAACCCTCAAACTGAGGCTGCAGCAGGACAAACTGCTGCTGGCTGGACTCCTGAGTGGTGCGTGCCGACAAGGAGCGTGGCCTGCGAATGGGTCGGGTAAAGAACGGTCCAAGGGGTGGGCTGGATTCAGTCATGGCTCCACAGTCATAGGTGCCTTTCCGTTTGTCTTGGCCTGTGCTGTTAGTCGAGCGCTGGTCACGTCCCGAAACATTACATCGTAGAAACCAATCCTGAGCAGGGTCTAGGGCAGTTTATAGTGGCAGTTTATCAGCTCACTATCCTGAATCCAGAATCCGACAATGCTGAACCCCATAATTTTCTTGCTAATGGCCTACTCCTAAACCCGACGCGGCACAAGGCTTGATATACACCAATTCGACCACGATTTGGAGCCATATCATGTGCGAAAACACACTTTCGTCAAACGACAAAGACTCAACTGTGGCTTATTTAATGTTCACGGATTGTGTTCCTGGTCTTGGGGTTCACTCAAGTCTAGACGGGATCCACAAAGGTTCGAGGAAGGGCCTTGTGAGACTCCGAATCAGACAGAGTGTTTGTGAGAAGGACCCTAGGCCTAAATCCAAGACCCTAAATTCGTACAAGCCCGATGCTACCACATGTAATCATCTGGCTCGCCCTGCCGGACTTTGAAGAAAGAAGGAGCACAAGTATAGACTTTCATGTCATGATGGTTCCTTTCAGGAACAGGTAAAACAAAACAAACCGTTTTCAAGTATGGTACTCCAGAACCCAGGCAAGGTTCAGGTGATACCTGTAGCCCCAAAACCATGTCCTTTTCAAGACTGCTATATAGAAACCCATAATGGGGAACCCTGAATTTGAAAGGGCAGGATCTGGTCTTCAACGTTGCACCGGAACACTTCCGATGCCAAAGCCCCATTCGGAGCCTCCGGGGGCTATCCTTGCTGGACAGAAGCACCTCCAGGGAAGCGTATGGTTTGCATGGGATACCCAGTAACCTAGGAATAAAACGGGCTCCTTGTGTTGGTATTGGGGATACAGTCCATGTAATCAGGCCTTAAAGAGGCTCACCTGTAGGTGCTTCAGGGCAAAGGTAGAAACCATATGGCGTATGGACTCAAAGGGTGCATGCTGTCTGCAACCCAGTCATGGGCACTTCTTGTTCTAAGGGCAGTCAGGGTGGCTGGTAGCATTCCGACCCTGTGTGCCGCAGAAGGACAGGTCATCGTCAATTGGTCTCGCAGCTAACATTGGTGGGACCTGATGGCATGAATGCCAATTCAGGCAAGGGAATGCCCAGTCTCCTCAAGCTTTGCTGAGCCCTCCACACCCCAGGGACTATACGGGGACACTATGGCCGCTTGTTGTAATTACTAGTACTAGCAGAATTATGACTTATTCATGATTCCAATAGGTGTAATGTAATTACCAGTACCAGCAGAACTATGATCTTAAAAATCATTCTTACGTTTACTACTGTTAGCATAACCATGATTTAAAAATGATTGCCATCCCAAACATGGCCACTTCTAGAGGGTCGCTCCGGGGATTCCGACATTTCAATTTCGTCTCTCAAGCTGTCAAACTTGACGGCTTAACTGAACCCTACAGCGTCAGTCCCTACTATAGCGGCCTTAAAAAATAGAATACGGTTTTGGGGCCCATTAATACTATAATCATAGTCAGGAGCCCCAAAAATAGTATTGGTAATTACTTAGGCCCCTATATTCGCGTCACAGGTCTCACCTTCAGAGTGGGTGTGAGGGGTGAGGGTGTGAGGCCACTGGTGATGTTCAAGCCCTCCAGGTGACCATTTCAGACGTTTGGGGTGTTCTACTTTGGGGCCAAAATCCGGAACACAAAAATCAACAAACTAGCCCCTTGAACCCTGAACCTGGAAACATGTCAAATACCCTTTACTTTACACCCCTAACCCTACAACATTAATTACCAGCTACCCTCAATGGCCTAAACCATACATCCCAAACGCAAAACCCTGAACCCTGAATGCCCGAATACCCTGTAACCTCGCACCCAAAACCCGAAACACTAAACCCTCGTTGAGTTCAGGTGGCCTGGTGGCCGAGACATGCCTTCGGGCCGGCATTCGGCAGGGCCTCCACAGGCCGCCGGAATCGAAAGCAGCGGAACTCTCAGGTTTTAGGGTTCAAGGGTTTCTGGGCTGAAGGGTTTACGGGTTGCAGGTCAGTTGGACCATTGAAGGTTTAAGGGATTAGGGCTTCAGGGTTTGGGGAAAATCTGAAGAGTTTCATGGTTTACAGGCTTAAGGGATCAGGGTTTAAGGGATTAGGGTTCAAGGTCTCGAGGGCTCATAGGTTTAGGGCTTAAGGACTCGAAGCTTTGAAGGCCACAGGGTTTAGAGGGTTTCCGCTCAACGGCCTGGGGGTTCGGGTTTAGAGCTCGGCCCTCAAACCCAAAAGATCTGACATGCTGGAGGCCCCAAGCCCTCAACCCTCAAGCCCCGGAGGCCCTAAAGCCAAGTAGCCCTGGTGTGGGTACGCCTTCATGGCCTAGGTAGAGATGTGGGGAACCCGACATCTTCAGTGTGCATCACAGTTTCTCCGAGCATGCTACTTCAAAAGGCCCCGTCCCGGCCAGCAATGCTGTAAACATGCTCTGCCCACCCTGCATTGCTGGACATTACACTGTTTCAACAGTTCTGCACAAGAAGTATTGCTGCTGCTTGCTATCTTGTTCATGTTGACAATATAACATAGAGTGCTTATGTTCACGTGGTGTGGAGATTGTTGTCTTCTGTGCGATCCTAAGTCGCATTGGTTTCGCAATTTACAGACAGTGCGTTGGCCTGCTGGTTGCTTTGCCGAAGCATTTTTTCGGGTGCATGTCCCTTATATCGAATGTGTCTAGGGTTCGCCATCGTGAAGACAGCGTGAAAGACCGATTTCTGACAAAAACTCAGCCTCCAATACTCAGGTCGTTGCACCCCAGGGCCTTCCAACCCAAGCCCTGAAACCCCTCAACTCCTCAGCCCTTATGCCTTAAACCTGAAGCCCCTGCATCCGAAACCCTGACACCCGAAAGCCCTTCCAACCTGAATCCCCTAGACCTAATCACCGAACCATGCTGAACCCAACGCCCTGAAGCCACTTCCTACCCATAGGCCCCAGAGTAGTTCCTTTTGGGGGTCCATATGTAGAACTCTATAAGGTGATCTCCCCAAAAGGGTAGCTCCTTTTGTGGGTTCATATTTAAGACTTCTATAAGGTAATGATAAAAAGGAACCTTCTGTTATAAGGTACTCCCAGAAAGGAACTGCTCTGGGGCCTGTGGGTAAGCCCTTCATCCCCAAGCCGGCCTGCAAGGCACCAAGGTCGAACTTCGACCTCCTCTGCACGGACTCCAGGGCTGGTTTAGAAGGTTTAGGGTTTATGTAACGCTTAGAGTTAATTAAAGTTTTCTTGTGTAAGTTTGTTTTATTGCTTTCCGGAGGCGGCAAGTCTGCGACTTCTAAGAAGGCCGAGAAAGGCCAGGAGTGACGGGCCCAGCTTCGGCTCAAGGTTCAGGGTTTAGGGGTTTGGGGCTTCAGGGATCTATAGTAGGGTTCTCTTTAATGAGGATTTGCGGCCGATTGCACTAAAACTATAATAAGGCACCCTCCCCCCCCGCCCACCCCCCCCTCAAAAAAAACATAGTACTGGTAACTATTTAGGTTCCTATATTAACAGTCATCGTCATCATTGCCAGACAGTGAAGGTAAGGCACGATGATGATCGTCGCGAGCATAACATGAAGGGTCAGCGGCATGCACCAACATCATGCTTCGGGCGCATGTACGTAGGGGACCCCGACGTAGAACCTCAAACAGCAGGATCCTTTCTACAAGCATCCCGCAAGAAGAACCCCTTCTTTTTGAGAAACCCCCCCATTGTCCTGAAAGTTCCGGTGCCGCCAGTTTCTAGCATCCTCCGACCTGAGGTTTAGTGTCTCCGACCTGGGGTTTACCTAACCTACCTTTCTAGCGGTCCCTTCTTACGGCTTCTTTAGACAAGACCTTCATAAGGTAGGCTACTCAGGGTGATTTAAGGTAGGGCTTATGGCATCTTAATCTTAAGGTTCTTGCCAACCCTAAGGCCCTAAACCCTAAACTACGCTTCGATCGCTTCTGATTTCTCGGGGTCTTGCACCCTTGACGCTCTTAGTAGTGGCCATCACGAGGCCCAGGGCTCCAGCGACGCAAAAAGTAGGTTGCTAACCATATAACATGTAAGTAACCTTACTTCCAAAAACACCAGAGGTTAAAAGGTCAAGCTTTCAAAACAAGACTAGCTCATAGTTGAAAAGCTTGGTTTTGGACCAATAAGTAACCGTTATGCCCTAAACCGGAATAGGCCATAACCCCTAGACCTTAAAAGCCCTAGACTCTACACCCTGAACCCCAAACACTGAATAACACTGCGCCCTAAGCTGTTATTCAATTTAGGTAACCTGGAACCCAGAGGCTTGATACTGTACAAAACAATCATAGGGACCCTTGGGGGGTTGGGGGAAGAGGGGTAGGGAGCCTTAATGCCCACTAATAAGGCGTATTTAAGGAAGTATACCCTCCGTCATTAGGTCTGCACCTGACCTAGACCCACCGACAGTACCTCTTAATGAGGAATATTTTATATGGGACCCTTCAAGGCGGGAAGTGCATGCTTGGGGGGTCTCCTGGGAAACCTTCCTACTAAGCTTCTCGTCGGCATTTGGCCTGTCGCTTCCTCGACCTGTTCTGGGGCCTCAGCCGTCGGAGAGAGCCTTGGAATCACTGACGCCATCTCCAAGATTCCTAGATGCTCGTGGGCAGAATAACCATGAAACTGAGCAGGATACCGAGTTAGCGAATGGCAGCCTTAAGCAGACAATGGTCCAGAGCTTCGGGTCAACAAAATGCTCTGCGTGCTCAATCTCGTGGTTGATTGAGAGTTTTGGGGGTTGGGTATGTCGCCATGGGCCATGGGATCTTCTGGAAGCCACGACGCGAAGCGAGAGCATTCTGCCATGTGGATATCCAGTACCCCTGAATAAAATAGGGTGTAGGGTTTCGAATAGACCATGCTAGTAGTTGCCTATACTATTTCTGGGGTCCCGTATAATAATTATGGTATACTGGGCCCCAAAACCCTATTCTAACTATTAAGGCCCCTGTATTAGTGATGCCTTTTCAGCCTCTTGGACTGAGGGGATGTTCAAGGGGCATGGGGTTCACCTGGCACTTGGAGAATGATCCTTCTCTGATCTATTGAAGCCGTGAGGTCTGGCCCTGGATAGATTTAATACCGTGGCTTTTGTTCCTTGCCTCAAGCGGCGAAGAACTTGGCAGTCACATGACTGGTAGTGCTAAGTTTGCCTCATCGTCTCCCAACTCAAGCCCAGCTTGTTTCTTCATGCTGGTTCGCCAAAATGCATTTAGCTTGACTAGAAATGTCACGGTTGCAATAAGTCCTAAACCTTGAAATCTGACAAAAACGTCCCAAGCCTCGAATTCGCCAACGGAGACACGGCCGTAGAACCGGACAATGACATTATGACATGCGATATCCGTGAACCCTAAAGCAGAAGAAAACTTCCGATAGCAACCTGTAGTCGCCGCCTAACATAGGGTTTAGGCTTTAGGGAGCTTGCTATGGTTTATGGTCAGGAGCCATATAGGGAATGATATAGCTAATTATTCAAGCTTCTATATTGGATCACATGCTTTTGAACAGGCTTGAGTTGAGGAGCGACGGCAGAACGTTAAGCGGGGGAAGGGACTGGCAAGATCTTCCACTCCTGCTGGAATACATGCTGCAAGAGCAGGATGTGCCTCGCCACATGATTCTCTGCAGCTTAAGGACACGGTATTTAGTGAGACTTTAGATAACGCCCAAGCTATTTGATACATATCTTATATACAAACATATACTCACTATTGAATATGTGCATATACACGCATCTGTTACACATCAGTATTCTCTAACATCCATCCAGCTTGCCACTGCCACTTCCTTGTGATGGAAAGCTTGGCCTCTCATCACAAAGCGTGCACATTGTGATCGACATCGCACTACTTGTGCCGACTCATGTAGGGGCGTTCATAATTAGCGTGGGGCGATTATGTTTTTCTAGAGTAAGGAACCTTAAGACAAATGTCGGTAATTCTTCCGACCTGTGCAGGACGCGTGTCGACTAATTCCTCTGAGTCACTGATACTGGTCAAAATGGGATCTGCTGGTCCTGACTTAACGGGAGATTTCGTATATTTGAGGATAGCATTTATCCTATAGCACTGCGCCGCCGATCTGTCAACGCGCTCCTCTCTGAGGACTGTTGAAGATATCTGCGAGCATGGCATAATTCGGTTCAAAGCCTCTCTCCTTCTCCGCAGGATGCTGAAGATGCCTATCTGTGGCCGCATGCTACGATGAAGTCTGGGATCCCTCTTCCACGAACAGAATCATCAGAAGATGATTGTCTTTCGATTCTCTGCAAGAGAACAGAGAGCAAGACAAAAAACAGCCCAGGGAAACTTGGCATATGGGCTGGGACACAAGTTCAAAAGCAAACTACGTCGTGCAGTTTAAGGTTCAGGCCTTTTTGGCAGTTAGAGCTTGCGAGGTGGTGATTAGTGTGATCTGGCTTTTGGGTCAGTATGGGTCAGTGCTCATGTGCTCTCCTGCCCTCTTGTCAAGGCTCGCATTGCTTTGACAGGTCTTTATTCATTATTGCTTATCACACTCGGACCCTCTCTTTCAACCAACCCTGCAACCCGCAAGCCATACAACCCTAAAGCCAACACCAGGCCCATGTAGGGGCCATGGCGATCCGGAAGGCAGGAGCCGGGCTACCACGAATGACGCAGCTCTGAGAGTATGAGGTGTTGGCCTGATGCGGCATACGGCTAGGGATTAGGATTGCGGCTTTGGGATTGAGGATGTCGAAGAGCTGTGTTTGGGACGTCTACACTACCACAGCCAGGAAATGCATTCTAAACCCTGAACCACCTGAACCGATGCTTATAAACACGACATCACGGAGCTTACCGCATGCACTTTTATTGCAGGTGCTGTCGTCAGCAAATGTCTTCCGTGCACTGAGATGCTTAGGCTAATATTCAGAAATCGAAAGGCACAAACAGCGGTTTCCACTTTAGTATTTGCAGATCTGCTTTGGATTACAGGATGACATGTAAAGCCTGGCTCTCTGCCAATAGCTGATCGGACGCACCTTGAGGACCAAAGCAGCCTGGATGCCGAAACTCCACAAGGGTAACATAGGGGCCTTAATAAGTAGACTAGGGTTTGGGGCCACATGATACTATAACTATAATAAGGAACGGTCATTGCTAAGGCCTTTATAGTAAATCTATACACACCGTAAAGCGGGTTGGTCCTCAAGGTCTATGTCAAGTCTGGTCGAGCGACTTCAAAGCCTGTGCGCCCTGGGCGGCGGCTTTGGCTTCGGCTTCAAATCAACACCTACTCGAAGAGCAACGAATACGGCACATGACAAAATTGTGGGGTACCAGTAGTGACTAGTGGAAGCAACAAATCTGACTTCGAACTGAAATGGTCAGGAACGACACCTGGGAGGGCATCATCACTGTCATCTACGAGATTTCGGGGAGCTTCCAGAGGAAACGATGCTGCTCGGTGACGGTATACAGTTCGAACATTATCGCGCAAGAAGCTCCGAAAAAGGCAAGCAGTGGTCATGGTCTGGTCGTCGTGGTCGTCGTCGTCCTCGTCATCGTCGCAAAAGGTGACAGAGGCAGCAGCAAAAGTAGCAGCAGCAGCAGCAGCAGCCGCAGCAGCAGAAGAGAACCAGGAGTCGAAGGGCAGCAGCAGCAGCAGCAGTCCTGGTGGTGGTGATGGTGGTGGGAAGATTACTATTGTTGCATGGTAGTACTGTGCTTGTCTCAAGATCAACCCAAGCTCTCCGACAACCTGGTGCCAACGGAACCCCAAGGCGCCAACTCCCACGGACACCTCAAATATCGACAACTTCCGAGTTAGCCGTTGGCCAATTTCAGGCAAGTAAAGGGCCAAGCAAAAGCACGTAAGATTCCGCAAGCGAAGACCCTGTTGGCATTTTCCCCCCAGCAGTACCATGTCTAGCCTCTTCACATGGAACAACCCGGCCTTCCCGAAACCCTAAACCCCTAAAGCCCTAAACACCTAAACCCCTAAACTCCTAAAACCCCAAACTCCTAAAACCCTAAGCCTAAACCCCGTATTGACGGCAAATCTGATGCCCCCCCAAAGCGAGCCTTCACCAGCGACGCCCTCCATACCGACGTGCTTGTGCGCCATGGTAAAGGCATCTGCAAACCTGGGGTCTTCGAGGAAGCAAACTGGGCACACAGAGGACTACACAAAGATCTCATCGACGAGGAGGGACCTGGTTCTCCAGTCCAGTTTTCGCACGACGAAGAAAAACTAGTGAGATCCTTATGTGGTCCACTAACATGAGCAAAAAAGTGTTGTGAGAGCTTTATGTGGTGCTAGCATATATATATATATATATATATTTAAACGGTCAGCGCCGTGACCGCGTCAAGATCATGCGAAATTCTTTTGGTGGCAAATCGCACGAAGTTTCCAGCTCATCGCGTCATACCCAACAGAGTGCCACCTACGGACTTCCTGGGTGGGATTTTGATGTTTATGTTCACTATTTTGGCCCGATCTTGGTCGGGACTTGAGCCTCTTCGACGCAAAGGCTATGCTAAGACTAATACGAACGACCATAACAATAATGAAAACATAATCTGAAACCGAGGGTTCAGGATTCCAGGTTTGGGCCTGGAGTTATCTTCGCAGGTAGCCTCAATCCCTCTACCTGAGGATGGGGGAGTTTGAAACAATAGAGGGAACCCTAATATGACGCCAAGGAGCATCAGCACGAGCCTCACTAATTCAGGTTGAAGTTCAGCGCGAAGGACTACTGAAGGGGGTTTCCTAAATCCCTAAATCCTCAACAATCAAACCCCAAACCCTAAACCCTACATCCTAAACCCTAAGCCCCAAACCCCACATACTAAACCCGAATCCCTAAATTCCAAAGCATAGCCCTAATCCCTAAATCCGCAACCCCAAAGCCCCAAAAACCCAATGGTTGTTGGGCCCAGCAGCAGTTTCCACCCCCTTGGGAGGTGCCCGCAAGGCTTGCGACCTGGCTGGGTTCGCGCACATTGATGCATGCAAACGTGTGTCTGCGTTAGACCTTGATTTCTTGATTTGCTTATGTATTTCATTAACCTTTTGCTGGCAAGGTTTATATACATGAGAGAGAGAGAGAGAGAGAGAGAGAGAGAGAGAGAGAGAGAGAGAGAGAGAGAGAGAGAGAGAGAGAGAGAGAGAGAGAGAGAGAGAGAGAGAGAGAGAGAGAGAGAGAGAGAGAGAGAGAGACAGAGGTGTGTGTGTGTGTGTGCACGCGTTTTTTTTGTGCGTGCATGCGCCAGGAAAAAACTGAACCTGATACCACTGAGACCTAGGTGGTCAGACACGGCCAACGCCAAAAAGCAAGACGGCTGGACAGGCTGTAACGTTACATTTACGGTGTAGGGTTTCGGGTTTATGGCAGAGTCTGGGAACTCAGCAGGAATTCTCGGAAGTGCCCGAATCCCCCTGTTTGCAAACATCTTGCGTTCTCAAATCCTCGCTCATTCAGCTCACATGCTTCCTGCTTCAGAGCAGGCTAGATCGCTCGTCCCAAGTTTAGAATCTCAACGGCTCAAAACTGAATGGTTGCACTGTTCCGTACTGTCTTGACGAAGACGATATCACAAAGTCAATGTAGCAGATCACACGAGACTTCGTAGGACGATGGGGCTCTGCATTCACCTTGCTCTAAATAATTAGAATAGGGTTTGGGGTATATTATACTACAATTACTGGGGTGTGCTTTAAACCCTTTAAAAGACATTTATGACTAGGTTCCCTTTATAAGGGAATAAGGGAAATTCAAAATTATCCCAAAGCACAACCCAGATTACAATAAGGAACCCCCAAACTCCCTCAACCCTAAACCGTTACAATAAGGAACCCCCAAACAGTACTGGTAAGAAGTGTGCCTTGGTGCAGCACTCACACGCTTCTGCCCTTCTTGCTGAAGGCTCTCCGGTAGTGAGGGCCTCAGTTAGGGATTTAGGGTTTAGGGTTTATAGGGGCTTAGGGTTTAGGGTTTATAGGGGTTTATAAGGTTTTTTTTTTTTTGAACTCCTTTTTGCGTCTGCATGAAGTCCACAGGCACAAGGCACATATGCACCAGGAGACCGGTCGGCATAATGATGCCAGCCAGTAACAAACACATCCTTCACCCCTCAGCCTTCACCCTCATAGCCCTCAGTCTGAATCATTTGTGTCTCGGCCAGGACTCGCATCTCGTCGGGTAGCGGCATAGAACAAGTCCCCATTCATGTAGATGAAGTGCTCAAGATGCAGGGTTTCCAACACACTCGGGCCGTACTGGTCGGAGATATGCCCAGACGTCACCTCCCCATGCTGCCAGCGAAGATACAACTTCTGCATCTCCTCAGGCCCCAGTGCCGCAACATTGTCCCACGTCGAACTTCTGGACTGCTCCTTTACGGGAGTTCTCGGCCACATCATTGGGCAGAGGCTCGTTGATCGTTGTTTCCTCCACATCCATTCGCAGGTTAAGCTGGAGTCCTGTAGCATGCAACGACGAAAGTGGGACCGCGATTTCACCAAGCCTTTTGCCCCCTTGGCCAATCTCCAATTTGAGCACTGTGCGTCTTCTCTTGGGTGCATTCATTTCGTCAAACATTGCCCAGTCCTCCCATTCCCTGTACCGAGCACTTTCGACCGTTTCGTACAAGTAGGAGTCCGCCGCTGCTTGGCGAGCAACTTCGTCATCCCGGTCAGCTTCAGCCCTAGCCCTTTCATCACGATCCCGAGCTTCTGCCTCCAATTGGGAGGCAATCATCGCCAACTCCTCCTCGTCAGGCGAGTCCGGCTGTGTGTGGTGTACCGGGACGGGAGGCGGCGGCCCCATTGGCATGCCCCCAACATTTTCCGGCATAGGTCCATCCAAGTCTGATAGGTCCTCCGGTATAGGCTTCGGGAATAGGACAGGCATCGGAGTGGACGGACACATGGGCAGCCCCTGCCACTCCAGTGAGCCACTTTCGAGTGGCAGAAAGGGAGCCATTCGATGCCACCAATCTCCACACCAGCTCTGGCATGCTTCAACCGGGGAGGAGGAAGACCCTTCAGCAGTTGCACGTACAACTGCTAGCAGAGCCACCAAGTCACCAGCCATGCCTCGCAGAAGTCCAAGTAGCCTGCCTTCGGACACATCCACACATCGTTGGTGTAGCCGTCGTTGAAGCCAGCAAGCATTGGCAAACATCGCCTCTTTAGACTGTTCCTCGAATGCTGCACGAAGTTGCTGCAGCACATGTGTCCAGTCAGCATTCACCCGAACCTGCAAGTCCATCTGCATGAGGAGGTTGTCATCGTTCTCTTCCTCGGCATCGTGGCTGGCTTGCATGTCCCTGCGGGTTACCTCTTCGAGGGCAGCCCCAATCGTCACCATGAGGTTCTGGAGCAACCTGGTGAAGGCAAGAGCAAGTGTGAGCCGATCACGGGCCCCGTACATACCGAAGCTGTCACGAACCACATCCAAAACAAAGTCAGGAAGCAGACGTCCGGGTGTGCTGTCATGGTCGATGTCAATAACCCCAAGCCAAACTAGCCAGGAGTGGACTGCGTCATCCAATGTCAGGGGTCCTTCTTCACCATTGGCAGTAACTGACTGATGCGTAACCCTCGAGCTGTTCGATGTTTCCCTTTGTTCTGGCTCCCGCTGCGGATCACTTTGGCCCCTGGCATTACGAGTACAGGTCCCACTGGCTCGACTGCCACCGCCCGTCCTGGAGAGGTAGTAGGTCTCGCGAGTCTCCTTTGGCGGGGGTGTGCGGGGTTCACGAGGAGGCTCACGTCCTCGAGGTCGACTTGATTCTGCATTGGCCCCCTCAGTGGCCGGACGAACACGCCGACGAGATCCCCCAGATTTCTTGAGCCAGGGCGTTTTCGTTCCATCAGGGAAGAAAGGTCACTGTCTTTCACCTCATGTTGTTGTACGCCTTCAGTAGGTTCATGCCTCGTGCGGGGAGACCTGGATCGTGATCTCGGAAGTGGTGTGTCATCTCGCCTGTGGTCAGGTTGCCCTTGTAGATGCACAGGTAGAAGGTCCGGAGTAAGCCAGGCATCGTTCATAGTTTCACTTAGTGTGTCCCAGCACTGGTGAGGAAGTTGCGCGCAGAGGTTTCGACATGCCCCAGTGAGCCTGCAGCGTTCAGCTTCTGCAGGGAGTAAGGCAGGTCCAGAGGCTCGGGCAGCCAAGGCAGTTTCAATAGCACGTAGGGCATCCACAAGTTGAGTGAGGGCGTGACGCATGACCCCAATCGTCCATTGCGCCTCGTCTCTGGTGTATTCTTGAGTCTCTGTGGATAACTGTTCAAGGAAGCTGCGCAGCTTGCCCCGAGTTTCTCGCGAGACCCCATCCTCAGGCATCTGCTCAAACTCGTACATGTTGAGCCCCTGTACGAAGGAGGAAACATCACCTTCCATCCCTTGCCCAATTTCGCCCGAGGAGCTGGCTACTCCATGATTTTGGTGGTACTGCACGTAGAGGGCGAAGAACTTCTCTTCAACATCCACGACCCAGCCAACCATTGCTCCTGGAGCCACTGGGCCAAATCCAAGCTCAAGCTCCGCAACGAGGAAGTTCACGAGGGGAAGCAGCTCGGCCAGGTATGGTTGTCTGCCTCTGGCCTGTCCTCTTGCCAAGATGCCACGCGCCATTGACAACCCATCCCACCCTGCTTCCATCATGAACCGAAGATCACCGAGGCAATCGCACATCCATTGCTCCGCAACTTGAGCCCATCGTGGGACATCCCTGCGGGTGCCCCCAGCATACGGCAGGAAGGAGCCAAGCACTGGGTTCCACTGCCTGAGCATGTTGAAGGAGCAGACGTCCTCATGAGCCATCTCAGTGGTGACCTCTACATCATCAGGGAAGGCGCCTCCACGGGCAAGATGCTGCCACAAGGTACGCATGCAAGAAGGGAAGTGCCCCTCCATGTACTCCAGGAGCATGTTCTCCTCGGTGTACAGAATCCAAGCATGCATGTCTTCCCGAAGGTCAGCATTTCCCGAGGTGTTGGGGCAGTTCAGTGGCGGAGCTTCCATACGTAGCTCATGAATCATTTCGAGGCCGAATCGGTCATAGTCCTGATGCGAGCGTGAGGAGACTGCCTGTTGGAGCATCTGTAGGAGGTCATCAGCAGGGACTCCACGCCCGATAAGAGAGTTGAGACGTTCCGAGGATTGAACCAGCCAGCGAGGCCACCAGTCATCTTGGTCATCGAGTGGCTGAGTGACAGTGCCGGTGAAGTAATTCAGAAGGATCACCGGCTGGTATGTCAGGTGGGTCACCTTCAGGTAGGCATTGGCCCTGAGGTCACAAAGGATGCCCAGGGCAAGAACACGGAGGCCGAGGAGGCCCATGATGTCACGCCGAGTGAGTTCTGAAGCCAAAGGGTGCTCAGGCACAGAGAGCCTTCATTAACCCTTCAACCCCATCCCTACCCTGTCGGACATTCATCCATGATGCTGAGCTGCAACCCTGAGCGCCACGGCAAATCTTGTTGTGCGATCCATGTGCAGCAAAGTTCTCCCCAGCCCTTTCGGCTATGAGCAAAGCGCCTCCAATTGCCACCGCAAGCTCGGTCCATCTTCCTTTCCATCGCCATGAGCCTGGGATAGAATCGAGTGGGGTGTGTAATCCCTTCCCCCTGTTTCTTACCCTTCTGCACTTCCCACCAGGAGAGGCTTCGGAATTCGTCCACAAAGGCGCTAATCGGGGGGTTTAACCTCATCAGACTGCGGACTCTGTGACCAGCGTATCCCCACCATCTGCGCAGCCACTGTGTTGACCAACGATCAACCCCAGATCGGTGAAGGGCAAGCCTCGAGGATCTCACAACCCGTCTTCGAAAGTCAGTCCAACCCTCATTAGCTCTCTTCCCAAGTTTGAGCAGCCATCCCATCAAGATAAATTGGAACGAGTTCACTAGCTTCAATGCCAAGGGCTCCGGAGGAAAAGCCGCGATGCACCATAGAGCCGTAGTCGTGATGACCTTGTTCATCAGAATCGTTCTGGCTTTGATTGAGGCTTTAGCTCGAAGCAGGTGGGAGATGCTCCAAAATTTTGCCCTAGCCCTTGCCAACAGAGGCTGCAGGATGTGCGTAATCGGCTTGCCAACAGCCAGGGGGACACCCATGACCTCAAGATGTTCACCACTTTCCAGGAGGACCCCTTGAACCCTAACCTTCCTCTCTCCCACACTGTAGGTGAGCAGTAGAGTTTGCACTTGGCCATGTTGAGCAGCAATCCGTATTGGGCAAGGACCTGGGAAAGCTCATCGAGTCGTCGAGCCACGTCCTTTACATCCCTACCCCAAAGGAACCCGTCATCCATGAAAAGTAACTCTTCGTGCAGGAGCTCTGAGTACAGCTTCGGGCGGGCTGCCCAATCAAATCGCTTGGCCGCTTCTGCAATGGCGACATCCATAAGAAAGCTGAACAGCATAGGAGATTCGATCGCCCCCTGTTTAATCCCTGACCCCATAGCAAAAGTACTCCGCCCCCGCGAAGAAATGAGAGTAGCCTTTGTGTCGAGCAGCAGCGCGCGGAGTGCACGAAGTTCGAAGCAGTCTCCGAGGCGCTCCTGAAGCCTTTCGATCAGCTTCGACCGGTGCACACTGTCAAAGGCCCTGGAGATATCAATCTTAATCACTGAAACCCCGGTTTTCCACTCTTGGTCAAGTTGAAAAAGACGTTGAAGTGTGAACAGCACATCCGTAGACTGACGGCCACGGCCTGCGCATTGTGCCGGATGCTGGTGCTCCATAAGGTCAGCGATGCGATTGACAACTAGGCGGGCGAAGAGTTTGGAGGTCGAGGAGCCCAAAGCGATAGGCCGAAGATCTTTGGGAGTAGTAGGGCAGGAGGTCTTGGGAAGAAGGATCACAAGTGGGCGATTCCACTCGGCCGGCACCTTTTGCAGGACGAACACCCTGTTCATATATTCAAGCAAATGCTCCTGTCCCCCCTCGACCTGAATGAGTGCCTTAAGCATTTCCGAAGACGTGAGGTCACAACCGACCGACTTCCCAAGCTTGAGCTGGTTGACCGCTACAGTAAGCTCCTCAGAGGAAAAGGAGTGACAGGGCCCTTCAAGCGGCGCGACAGCTGACAACCCCGACCCTTCGTAGATAGCCGCAAAGTGCTTGTGGGCAACGCTATGTGGGTCATGAGTCTGGGCCGTGGCAAACTCCTGATCCCAGCCTGGCTTGCTTTGTTTGCTGAACTCCCGGTAAGCCTGCCAGTCACCATTCACCGCGCTCTTCAGACGGGAGGCCTCCCATTTCCGACGCGCTTGACGTCGTGCAGACAAGGCCAACTTCCAAGTTGCCTTACTTTTGCTGAGTTTCGCT